AGTGTGAAGGTTGTCAACTTGGAAAGCATTGTAGACATTCATTTAAACCTAGTAATAAAAGGTGTTCTTCTTTTGATGTTATTCATTCTGACGATGGTGCTATGGGAGGCTATCGATATTTTCTCTTATTTGTGGATGATTTCTCACGATACTCTTGGATTTACCTGATGAGATCCCGCAATAAAGTACCATCCTTGGTGAGGCAATTTCATTAGATGGTGCTAACACAGTTTGGAACAAGAATAAAGGTGTTCAGATCAGACAATGTCAGGAAATATTTTGAAAAACACCTTGCCTCATATCTATTAGAATATGGTGTTGTCCATCAGAGCAGTTGTCCCTACTGTCCACAGCAGAATGGTGTTGCAGAAAGGAAGAACAGACACATTGTTGAGATTGCAAGAAGCCTGATGATCACATCTATAGTTCCAGTTCGGTTTTGGGGTGATGCAGTTCTCATAGCAGTATATCTGATTAACAGGGTGCCCTCTCGTATACTTGGATTCAGCACCCCATTCAGTCTCCTTTTTCCTGAGGGGGAGATGTTTCATATTCCTCCCAATGTGTTTGGGTGTGTCTGCTTTGCACATATCCTTGGTCCTAACTGCTCAAAGCTTGATCCCAAGGCAAAGAAGTGTGCCTTCCTTGGATATGCAGAAAATCAAAAAGGGTATTGCTGCTATGATCCAATCTCTGGGAGCCGGTATGTTACCATGGATGTCACCTTTTTTTAATCCACATACTTCTTCTCAAAGAATCCTTCTCAGGGGGAATGTTTTGGGGAAGTAAGTCAGTAGTATTTTCCTCTCCCAGTTCCAGTCCCTGTGTCTACTCCTATGCTTGACCTTCCTGTGTCACCTACCTTACCACCTCCTTTGCGTCCTGCTTCTCAGCATTACTTACGACAAAAACTTCACAAGGAGGTTGATTCCACTACAGCATACTCACATCACTTCCTGTCGGTTCCTTGGAGACTCTAGACTCAGCTGACATGGATTCAGGTATTCTTCTTGGTCCCGCTACTGTTTGAGTTCCCATTGATTCTACTAACCCTGTTACAGATAACCTCAATCTTCCTATTGCTCTCAGAAAAGGGAAGAAAAAGTGTACTGCTCATTGTATTTCATAGTACTTATCCTATAGTGGACTTTCTCCTTCCTACCGTGCTATTCTTTCCTCTCTTGACTTTGTGTCTATACCCAAGGGTGTTAGTGAGGCTCTCTCCAAACCTAAGTGGAAGATAGCTATGTAGGAAAAGATAGCAGCTTTGATTAAGAATCAAATATGGAACATTGTGGATCTACCAGAGGGCAAGGAGAAAGATGGATGCAGATGG